TTAATAATATCTTTTAAGTGTAAAGTCCTTAATAACAGTTGTAGTCATTCCCTTTGAGCCCTTGTTATGTAGTGCCCCTGATAATAATATAGCAATTTAATGATTCTACATATATTAGTAATATATAATATTATTATCACATTAATCCAACAAATATCAAAAGCACTCTTAGTCAGCAATTACAATATCCGTGAATGAGGGCACTTAATGTCACTATTATTACCAAAGTTTCCGTCACTTATCTATCAAACAATATTTAAGACATTTGTATCTCATTGACAGTATAGAATTGCTTTATTAATTAGATCATTGTAGAGAATTAAATAAAATTATTTTCAAAATATAAATATTAAATTACAAACTATTATTACTAATAATTTATTAGTATAACATATTGCAATTTACAGTATTTTACTAGTATTAACATAATAAACAAGTACAGGATGTTTAAATGCAATTACAATTTTATAAACAATATTAATGGTCATATTTATTTCATAGTAATTTAACTATAATTCAAATTGCAAGTATATGACATATACATAGAAATTTAATAACAAACTAAAATAAACAAAATATACAAAACTTAACAAGAAAATATTAAATCTATTGAATATAACAGTAAATATTATATTGAATAATGTGTTGAATTTAATGTTTAGATAAAAGGATTTTATAATAATGTATACAAATATATATACTGTATATATGAATATACAATTAAATCAGCTATTTCAGCAAATATATTACAAATACTAACAAATAGACAATAACCTAGCTCCAATTACTCATATAATCAACAAATTCTTGTCTAATAAAAATAAATAATTTCTCAAATATTTGATACGAGTTTTTGTAGACGTTTTATATGCCATTTAAAGGGCTTTTCGCAAAATAGGACTCACTTTTGAATTATGTTTTTGTCGCTCAATAGTATTGACTCAATAACTCAATAGTTATTTACAATTCAATTCATTAATCGCTTCCTAATTGTGTGAACAGTAAGCCATTGATTGCAATGCAAAGTGAGTCACAAAACGGTGTGAAAGACGGCAACGAAAGCACAAAATTATTGCAATTTTTGTGTCAAATCGAGTCATTGAAACACTTGGACCGCAAGGGGTGGACCATTCAGGACAGGGATATCGACAAACCAGAGTCGGTCGCCGGTATGTATCACCTCCTCGTGACCATCACCTCACCATTCATTGGTTGACACCATTCACCACATGTCTCACTCGATGCTCGAGAGGGTAGACACGAGTGGTGCAGACGTTGACCTCATTTGACATCTTAATGATAATAACATTGTCTCATAATATGCTTGATATGAATGTCATGACAAGCGTTGTATTAATGGTTGGATGTGTTGACTGACAGGACATATGTACCGAATGGCCGTAATGTCGATGCTATACGAGACGGACACTCCAGATGTGGTGATAGACCGGAACCGTTTGGTGCGATTGGCGCTCATCCACGATATGGCTGAATGTCTGGTCGGAGACATCACTCCATTCGATGGCATATCTGTCTCCAAGAAACACGAACTCGAGTTGAACGCTATGACATATTTGGGTATCCATTCACTCGTACATCCCTTTCCACACTATATGTAATCACATATTGTTTATGCCGTTTATGATCTAAAGTGTCATTACTTCCGGAAAAGACTTCGGATGAGTTCAAACATCTCTACGAGGAGTACGAGAGTCAACAGACATCGGAGGCGAAGATAATCAAAGAGTTTGATAGGTTTGATGTCATGCTTCAGGCCTTTCAGTACGAACAGCGAGAATATGAGACCAAAGGCCGAGTGATTCGCTTCCAAGAGTTCTTCGACAGCGCTATCGGAAAGATCACATCCAAACAATTGGTCCGAATGTGGGATCAGTTGAACGAACAAAGGGCTCAGTTCTGGTCCAAAGTGCAAAGTAGTCAACAAAATGACCACTGATTTGATCCGTTCATTAGTTGCGGGTTTTGTGCAAAATTTATCCCAATTTAAGGCAATTATAGTGCAATCATATTATTAGACATTTAATAATTTTTCTATAGATTAGGTTTTTTCTCAATTTTTAATTATTAGTTTAATTATTTTATTTAAAACACTTTAGTATTCAATTAATACCTAAATAATACTCTCAATAATACTTAAACCAATAATCGATGAATAATACCATTTCATAGCATTCTGTATTATAAACAGGTACAAATATTTCATAGGATATTCTAATATATTTATAATATAAATATTGTAATTTCTAATTAAAACTTATTTTATTATCATAATTAAAATCCATGGGTGATTACAAATATTTTGTAAATCATAAACACTCTGATTAGTTGATTAATTAATATAATAAAAAAATATTTGTTTTGAAAGTTATTTCACAAATGAGTTAAAAATTTTATTTCCAAATTTCAGTCAATAATATCCATACATAAAAAAGATGCCAAGTTTGACTTTTTTGTCAACACATTCTCTATTGATGTATAAATGATAGAAAAAGCTGCAAAAGTCTGCATACAATGCATATAATTCGCGGTTAGTTACGAAATTTTAAGTAAATACTTGTGAATACAATCCAAATCAAGATAATACAGTATCGGATATTAGTATTATATTAATTGCTAATTATATAATAATAACCACTAAATTATAAATTAACTAAACTATAATATGGCGACAGTCTTGAATAGTACCGTAATTATAATAATTAAAATAATAATAATTGAATTGATTAATAAATAATATAAAAAATAATCATAATTTGGTCACAAATTTGCATTTAAAATGCTGTGAAAAAGGGGAGGGAAGGGAATGGTGTTACAGATTGACATATCGTAACACAAAAAATTTATCCCAACATTGTTTGGGAATGTATGTCAAAAAAGGATTATACAGTACAATATTTTTGATTTAAAAAATTTGATTTCAATATTGCTGTCAATGTATCAATAAATTGCAATTAAAAACACATTTAAAAATAAAATTAAAATTTGATTAAAAAACGAGTGAATAATTAGGGAATTATTTTCGAGTCAAAAGGCAAATTAAAATATAAGATTTGAGTGAAAAAATCATACGAAAAAACCAAATCATAATCACATTAAATAAATGGATTAAAAACTCAACAAAAAAATTATTGGAAAGTATTTGAACTAAAAATTGAAAAAATCTCATAAAATAACAATAATTGTGATCATAAGAGGAATAGCAGTGAGAATTGAATTAACACTTAGTTTAGTGCTAAATATGGCCCAAACAGAGGCACCGGTCGAGGGGACGGTTCGCTTAACCGCACACTTCGGCCGGCGATGACTCGTTCACAATAACAACCGACTCATCGATCGCTTGTTTAGTATATTCTTCCACTTCTTCATTGCCATTGACTATAATCTGTTGAGCATTACTGGACGGGTAGTCATTGTCGTTGTCATCGAGCACTGCCTTGTCATCGGTGGGGCCGGTATTCTCCTCGACAACGGGGGTCTCATCATTGAGATTGTGGTCCCCATTGACGATCACAGCGGAGACCAAGTGTTCGGTCGCTGTTTTGCTGTCGTCGTCGATATTACCGTTAATGTGGTTCATGTGGTGCTCATCGGTGGCGGCGCCGGTATGCGCGCCGGTCGTCTGATAGTGATCCAGATTCGCTTGAAACTCATCCATGAATGTCGAGTCAATGTTCCGCAAACGGATCAGTAGTTCGGCCTTCTCTTCATCACTCCAGTGGGCGAACCATTCGCTCAACAGTTTCATCCGACACTGGAATATAGAGGCCGGTCTGTCCGACACACCTGTCCACACATACCAAACACATTACTATACAATGTATACATTGAGTGCATGTTATGTCGAAACACAACATATTTGACATAAATGTCAAACTCGGAGACAATTAATTCACAAACACGTCTACACTATAGTCTACTAGTTTTTGACACATAAATCACTGCTTTTATGATAAATGTGTGAAATGTAACCAAAAACTACTGACATTATTGTAAACACCCGTTCCTATGAATACTAATTATATTTGTCATTAAATTTCAATTTTAACATCAATTTAATACTAAAGTCATCAAAATGTCTATTAACTCACAGTCATATGATAAGCATTTTATACATTATGCATGCATTGCATAATTATAGTGAACTATCGGTTATAATAAAGAAATCATAAGTTGTGTCCAAAAGTCTAACATTTGATAACAAGACCAATAAAATGATAGGAAAAGCACAGGTATGTCAGGAATGTGGCGATCTTACATGCAATTAATGAAAGCATTTAACTGTTAATTAGGTTATCATAGGGTTCGCCATATAAGGGAACGGGAGGTATGGTATGCAATGAATACCCAGATTATTGAATCCATTGATGAGCGCATTGTCCGACTGTTGGCCACAATTGCTGTACTTCTGGACCAAACACTTCATGAAGTCTTGAGTTTGCATTTC